TGCTCTTTCTCTGATTTCAAGAAATTTATCCATAAATATAGCAAAGTTTCAAACTATATTTTTATGATATATATATATATATATATATATATATATATATATATATATATATATGTGTGTGTGTGTGTGTGTGTGTGTGTGTGTGTGTGATAAAATTATAGTTTTAACCTTTGCTATATATACTGGCAGAAATACACCGAGGATGTTCGAATGTGTTATAGAAACTTTGCATTTTGAAAGATATTATAAATTTATGAACAAATGAAAATATAATTTCTACCTATATTTCTGAGATGAGATATTGTAATTATTTATATTATTTACATTGTTCAGACTTTTGTCGCCATCTTTATTGTCATATTCACGACGTTTCGGGCGTTGTACGCTCCGGCTTTCTTCAAGTGATTAGAATTTTTAACTGAACACTTTATTTCGTCCCCCGGGATAGTTTGTTCTATTTCCATGGTTGGTTGGTTCAAAGAGTTGTGAGTTCAATACCTGGCTACTGGACTGGTGAACAAAAACTTGGAGAGTTGATTAAAGGGAGATAACTGAAACTTTCGGAAGAGGCATGACACACGGAACTAGATCAGTCTCTGCTGGTGGACGAAATTAAGGGTTCAGTTCAAAATTCCAGTCACTTTACGAAGGCCAGAGCGTACAACGTTCGAAACGTCGTGAATATGGCAATAAAGATGAAGACAACAGCCCGAACAATGTAAATAATATAACTAAAAATAGAATTATTTATAAATTTTAATTTGGAATGAACCTGTCTTACCCTCGTGGTACGTGACCTACGACCTTAAAATTGTACTTTTCTTCCAACTGTAAAGCATAGGATATGGGTGTCATTAAAAGCACCTGCAGGAAAATAAATCATCTTTAAGTCATTTTATCGATAATGGAAAACAAAAGATAGGTCAACTCAAGTATGGATCACTCATCTTTTAAATTATAAATGCGTTTATGACTATAAACATGCAAAGAATAAAGAACACATATGGTATAATTCTTTCACCGTTATACAATTTGAATAAAATATGTTCGATAATGAATAAAATGTACTAACAAACCTATGTTTGTAACAGTATTTTTAATATATATATATATATATATCAATGTTTTGACCTTCAGGTATATATTTTATTTCATTGATCAATTATTATCCCTCAATATTTATACGTTTGTTTGATATATTATTCTTATTATTCAATTATTATTAAGTTTCAGTTGCATGTTATTCATGCAGGCTGCGTTTCCTTCGTTTTGACGCGTTGATTACCAGTACAGCCGTTTTCTCAAGACAAACGGCGTTTGTACAAAGGATTATAGTTTTTATATTTTTATACTTGTATACAATTATTAAACAAAACTTGAAGACAGACAGACATACTGTGGAAATATTGTTGAACATTGTCAAACACTGTGTCTTGTCTTTTTCTTTTCTTAAATCGCGCTCTCCACTGTGCTTTATTATTATTATTATTATTATTATTATTATTATTATTATTTTCTTTGATTCCTGTTGTATACACATTTTCTTCTGGATCCCAACCAGAGACCTAAGGTCAAAAATTGTTCATGACATTTCCCACTGATCATTTTTGTAACAAAAAAAAAACAAATTCACACACATTTTACATAGGTAAAGCTCTTCGTAATGTTTGAGCCGTACTTGTGAGTACAATTTTTTGTATTTCTTTAAGGAATGGGCTACCAGGACTCCTTTCAATGAATCTATTGGAACCTTTTCCAATCAATCTGAGAGCTCCAATTACAACTGGAATTATGATGTTCTCATGTGCCACATTTTTTAGATTTCCATTTCAAGATCCTTGTATTTTGATATTATTATCATTTGTGCATGGTATGTTTCCTGCTTTGTATCCTGAAGATCGGGGTCCAAACTAAGGTCCTTAGGCCCTACAGGAGAATTGTCATTTAACTGATAGCACTTTTCTTAATATATGAGATGTTTCTTATTGGGCGATCTTCTGGGCAACTTGTATGTTGGTGTTACCTGGGACACTTCCTTTTTTCTCAAGGCCCAGAGCTCCGATTACTATTGGCACCGTCTCAGTCTTCATTTCCCACATACTGTTAATCTCGGTCTCCTGTTTCCCATGTCTCAGGGGCGATGTTGGCCTGTGTCAGGGATGTCTTCAACTGATCCTTGTAAGCTAGCTGTGGCATTTAATCAGATAGTTTTTTTTAAGAACAACTGTAATTTTTTCATATGTTAACTTATTATTTCTGGCAAAATAAAGACGGCCAATATCCACCTTCGGGTGAGGTATGTTATGGCAGGTTAATAATTTTATTCATTTAGAATCCATTTTCATTTCAATTATATTCCAATTGATAATGTTGAACATTTGAGTTACAGGTAAAGAATCTATAGCAAGATCTGGTTCTTCTTTTTCTTCTTTTTCTACTACTCTCCTTCCTTTCTATTCTTTTCTTCTTCCTCGCTTCTCTTCTCCTCTTCTCCTCCTCTTCTTCTTCATCTCGTCTTCTTCTTTTCTTCTTCTCTTTTCTTCTTCTCTTCTTCTCCTCTTCTTCTCGTCTCTCCTTCTTTTCTTCTTCTTCTTCATTTCTCCCCTTCTTATTATTATTATTATTCTCTACTCTTCTCTTCTTCTTCTTCTTCTTCTTCTTCTTCTCGTCGTCTTCTCTTTTCTTTTACTTCTTATTAATCAAGAAGGCAGCATGCCAACAAAATGACGAGGTGGGTACAAATATATGAAAGTCAATATACTCATCAAGAAACTCAGTCCGATAAATGTATACTCGGCACATGCATCACAGCCAAATATGTGTGATATTTTGATAAGTTTTCATAAAAGCAGCAGTGCATAACTTTGTAGGTAGAGTTCAGACGGTTTCCTATCGAGGGTGTTTCCATGTATCTAGATATAATACCCAAGTCGCCTTAGCTGCTTCACTATTCAAAATTATGAATGCCTCAACCGATAGAGGACATACCCAACTGGTTATGGTCAGGCAAGTGACAAGTAAATCTGTGGTACTGAACCGTATATTTACCCATCTTAATTCACTAAAACAAAACATGTACATTTTTATTATATGTACAATATACTATGTAAGCAAATATGTGGATATAGATCCGACAGTATGAAGAAAAATATATGGAAAAACAAAAATCCGAATATGCAAATATGCTGTTTTAATGTTGTTTCAATGTCGACGTCAGACGTTTCGGTCTAGTAGCGTTCTGTTGTACTTATAAATTTTAGATTAAAATAAAATTCTTTTTCATTTAAAATATACTCTATTTTAGGAATACGTTTTCATAACATCGCCTACGTGACGCCGACGTGATCATATTGTGAAACGGAACGCTGATCTTAAAAATTTCAGTTATTCTGTTTTGATTATTCTTACTCTTATATCTATCGTCTTTTCATGTTGACTTGAATATCGTCTAATGTTAATTATGTTTTAATAACTATGTCCTGAAGAAGGACTACTAGACTGAAACGTCTGACGTCGACATTGAAACAACATTAAAACAGCATATTTGCATATTCGGATTTTTGTTTTTCCATATATTTTTCTTCACAGTATACTATATAATTTAATGTAACAGTAATGTTGGTAATATTGTAGTTTATGTACGTAAAATGAAATGTGAATACAGGGTGATTGAATAGTAACTCCCTATTTTATGTATGATGGACTCTCCCGTCTTGTAAAAATTATAGTTAGACGGGAGAGTTCATTATGCATAAAATAGGGAGTTACTTTTCAGTCACCGTGTAATATAATTTTTTTCATGGAGGTCAAGACTCTAATAAGAAAAGAAATGAATTCACGAAAGTATTTTAAGTAGATAGCAAAAATGACAACACTAAATATCCCAAATTATTAAACTATTTTATAATATCAGGTAAAAGTTTGTCAACACCTTTGAATCAAGCCAAGCCAGCACCAGTGAAACTAGAGGATGTGTACAAATTGTATGTCTTTTTTTTTTCAACACACTAGTTGACATGTTTAAGTAGATGACGATCACTGTGTCCAAAATATTACGGGTTTGAGAATACAAACTTTCATCATAAGTGGAGAAAACTCAGAGTTTGTTCTGTGATGATGAAACGTTACAAGTTGGGTTTTGAAGGTATTAAATGTTACAAGCCAGTTCTTCGCCAATGAACTGCCATTGCAAGGTCAGAGTAGAAATCAGGTTCTGGTCATCTAGATTTTTGGTGTTCACAGGATTAGATTTTAAGATTAAGATTTTACTGAATAAAATATTTGGCCATGTCATAGACGGATTTATTTATTTATAGTAGAGGTTTGTGTGATATAATTTTATATGAATATATATTGATATTAAAAATAATGAAAATATTTGTAGAATGTTTTTGACCTCAGATAATGCAAGAATATACTTTGAACTCAGAGAAGTCAGGTGCATCGAAAAGACGGTACTTCTAGCCACCGAGGATGTCAGTCGCTGACCCCGATAGATCCATGTCATTGACCCAGTTGCACTTAGAGCATGTGCGCGAACATAAAAACCATATGACATTTAAAAATGTAAACAGCGACCCGACAGGCAGCAATGAAGTATATCTTGCTGACCTCGCGAAAAGAAGAATCCTCGTTCGGAGTAGGCTCCAAAGACACACACTTTACTCGTTTAGATTAAAACAACGAAGTCTGGAGTTAAACAATAATTAAACGTATGAGAGTTTTAATCATGTCTTTTCATTAGTTTGATAGAGATGTTAGCAATAACTTATAACGTTTTCTCTATTTTCAATCCCAATAATTCAGTGTTTAATCTCTAGAAAAGTGACCTTTGCATTTTTTGTAAAGAATCTGTTTTAGGTCGAATAAAATCTAATTAATCTTTGAACAAATACGATCCATTTCTTTCCCATTTATAATTTTTTTTAAATGTTCATAAAACAAGACAAGTATAAAGAGTTGGGATAACTTGGCCAAATACGGCAGCCATATTTACTTACCATTATCAGATCGATGGGAACAGGAATGCGAAGCCGATATTTAAATCGTTCGTTTATTTGGCTTTTGATAATATAAATGATGAAAATTGTAATGAGAGACAAGAGAAGTACAGGATAGTGTAAATTTGGAAGCTGAAGAATAATTGCGTACAGTGTCTGTAAAAGAGAACATTTGTTATGTTTCAGAAGAAAACACATATAATTATTATATTATCATTATATATATATATATATATATATATATATATATATATATATATAAACTAATTTGAGAACTAGAAAGGAATATTGTAAAATAAATGGATGTAATATTTCTATATTATTCAATGAAACATGCTTGAATATATATATATATATATATATATATATATATATATATATATATATATATATATATATATATATATATAACTGATAAAGATATTAACTTAACAGTCATTTACAATATTAAAAGATTACTATCAGTAAACTGTCATATTTTAACAAATTCTTTTAATGTGTTCTCTATGAATGTGTTAATAAATACAGTACTTAAGTTATATTAAATCCCTAAATTATTTGTAAAAGAGTTAAATATTTAAATTGTTAGCAAGCATCAAATTAATTTCTTCGTGGTTTTTTTTTAACATTTAAATTACTATCAAACATTAAAATCTATTTTTTTACATAAATTGCTAAAAATATACCACCCCTCTTTTTCCTAGGTAAAACCTAATTACAGCTTCTGTCTCTTTACTTCCCCCTTCTTTCTTTTTTTCTTTTTCTTTTTCTCTCTTCTCCCCTCCCATTTCAATATATCACTTCCGTTAAGTTAACCGATTAAATAGGTCAAGGTCTGATCCCCACCCCAATACTAAGTATGATTGAAAGAAATATTAAAATAAACCCTCTCTAAACTCGACCATGTCTGTCACACCATTTCTCGCTACCCTCTCTGTAAAATTACATAAACTTAATGCTACCCGTCAAAAGCGTGAATTTTCATTTCATCTTTCGTTTCATTTTTTGAAAGTGTTATCTGATGATCCAGCGACCCTTAAAAGGGGTCAGGTGAAATAAATTATTATAATGGAACGTTAAAGTGGTCTGTTTTTCTTAAACATATATATATATATATATATATATATATATATATATATATATATATATATATGTATGTATGTATTGACATTTTTATGTTTATACATTTTATGTTTTTTCTTTTATAGATAAAAAATGTCTTAAAATAATTTTCGAACTTTGTCCAGTTCATTATATATATATATATATATATATATATATATATATATATATATATATATGTATGTATATATATAGTTTATGAAAACTAGGTAATCCGTATGGGTAAACCTAAGGAGGATAAAATCCAGAGAGCTCAATGTAAATCCAGAGCAAATAATTTAAATAAAAACAGACCACTTTAAGGTTCCATGTAATAAATTATATTTAGTTTATGAATAATTTATTACATGGAACTTTAAAGTGGTCTGTTATATATATGTGTGTGTGTGTGTGTGTGTGTATGAAAATTTCTCCGATTTAACCAGTAGAGAAGACAATATTTATGAATAAAAATGACAATAGGAAAACTAGTAATTGCTGACGCGTGGACTTTATCAAAGCAAAATACGAAATGAATTTAACTGAACAAAGTAACTAAGAAAAACAAAAAGCAGAATGTTCCTAGCCAACTGGAATGTAGAGAACGCTATTTTCATATTGTTAACTGAAAATAACGTCAGTATTTGTCACGTGTGGAGTATATTGTCATTATATCTGTGTTGATGTATCCAACCATTTTCTTTTGATTTTATAAATCTGTTGTGTACATTTGTTTGTGAGAGCAGTAATTTTGTTAAGAAAGGTGAAATGGGGAAAAACCTGGCCGTAAATTAATATTTGGGTAATATTCTATGGTGGCACTCTCTAGAATTTTCCTTCTGAGTGAGTTATTTTCTTTTTTTATGAGTGTAACATTTTTAAAAACAAAATTATGGTTGAATTTATTTCTATGTATGACTAGTGCATTAGCTAACTTGTTTTTTGTGAGGTCTCTTTTCTGCTCATAAATGCGTTTTTTTTAACTTTTGCTAATAGTACCGAGAAGTGGAGTTAAACTGGACTATTAGTCCATCACACATAAAAATTTCAGGCGACCTCTTAAACAAATTAAAAAACATAGACACTAAAAACAAATGTATGCATAGTTTAGATATCAAATCTCTCTATACAAATGTCCCCATAAATAAATGCTTAGATTTACTAAAAAAAAAACTCCTAACAAATACAAAAATTAAATTACCTATATCTACACATAAAATTAGAAAAATATGCCAACTAATTACCAAGCAATGTTTCTTTACTTTTAATAACCAACATTACAGACAGAAATTTGGTTTACCAATGGGATCTCCTCCCAGCGCCGTTCTTGATTGTCTATTTTTAGAATTTCTAGAAAGTGACTCATTCAAAAATATTCTCCCTACAAACTCTTCATATTTCAGATACATAGACGACTCATTATTAATATTTCCAAAAAAAATCATTTTAACGGATCTTCTCTCCAAACTTCACAACGTTGAACATACAATAAACTTCACTTTCGAAACTGAAACGAACAACACTCTTCCGTTCCTGGACATTTTGTTACTTAGAAATAATAACGAACTCAATTTTGACGTTTACAGAAAGGCTACAAACAAAAATGATCTGATCTGTTTCTACTCAAACCACTCTTCAAAAATTAAATCTGGAATTATTATAGGTTTCTATCTAAGAGCATTAAGAATCTGTAGTGCCCAATATTTACTTAAAGAAGAAACATACATAGAAAACACATTCAAAAACCTACAATACCCATATCATTTCATCCACAACTCAAGAAGAAAGGCATACAAAATATACAAACGAAACAAAACTAATAACATAATCCGCAATAGTAAATCACATAAAAACAGATACGTAATACTAACGACCAACTCTGTCACTTCCACTATCCAGAATAACCTATCCCATCTAATTAATCTTGAAATAGTCACAAAAACTTCCAAAACCATTATGGATATACTAAGATCTTCAAACATTAATCGCAATAATATTTCTGAAGCAGGCATTTATAAAATAGATTGCCAAAACTGTTCCTTCCAATATATTGGAGAAACAAGCAGAAGTTTAAAAAACGCATTTATGAACACAAAAGAGACCTCACAAAAAACAACTTAGCTAATGCACTAGTCATACATAGGAATAAATTCAACCATAATTTTGATTTTACAAATGCTACACTCATAAAAAAAGAAAATAACTCACTCAGAATGAAAATTCTAGAGAGTGCAGCCATAGATTATCACCTAAATATTAATCTACGTCCAGGTTTTTTCCTCATTTCACCTTTCTTAACAAAATTACTGCTCTCACAAACAAATGTACACAACAGATTCATAAAATCAAAAGAAAATGGTTGAATACATCAACACAGATATAATGACAATATTCTCCACACGTGACAAATACTAACGTTATTTTCAGTTAATAATATGAAAATAGTGTTCTCTACATTCCAGTTGGTAGAAACAATCCTTTTTTTTGTTTTTTTTTATTAGTTACCTTGTTCAATTAAATTAATTTTGTATTTTGCTTTGATAAAGTCCACATTGGACGAAACGCGTCAGCAATTACTAGTTTTCCTATTGTCATTTTTATTCATTGCACTACCACTAGAACCTCGTTCTACTATCAACGAGCTGACTGGGACTCGTTCCGTGATTTCATCTGCGATGACCCCTGCGACGTTGTCTTTACGCTCCCCGTTCAAGAATGTGCTTCTGAGGTCTCATCCTGGGTTAAAGCTGTAATGGACGCTTTCAAGGAAATATAGGGTCAAGTCGCGCTCCTCCCCTTGGTTCGCCGCTGCTTGCTCAGCCGCCATTGCCCATAGGAACCACTTCTTTCACCTATTTCGTTGCGACATGTCGGACTGCAATAGACGTCTCTTTACCTCCGCCCGTAACGAGTGTAAGCGTGTCCTCAACGAAGCTAAGTCACTATTTGCTGTCGGATGAATGAGCGTATTGCATCTCGCAAATCCAAAGATTATTGGCGTCTCTGCAAGAGCGTACTGGACAATAACAAACCCTCTATACCTCCTTTGTTCAATCAGTTCGAGGTCCTGACCTCCTCTGCCGACAAGGCTGAATGCTTTGCTCGGAAATTTTCATTCAATTCAACGCTCGACTCTTCCGGTGTACCCATACCCGACTCCCCTCTTAGAACTGAGGCCCTATTGAGCGGGTTACACATAACCCCGTCTTTGGTATTGGGCATTATCTTCAATTTAGATCCCAACAAGGCTAGTGATGGGGATGGGATACCAGCCATTGTCTTGAAGAAATGCGCGCCTGAACTGGCGACCGCCCTCTCTAAACTTTATAACTACTGCCTCAAGGAATCTTGTTTTCTTGACTGCTGGAAGTCCTCATCGATTGTTCCTGTCTTTAAGAACTCTGGCGACCCCTCCGGCCCTTCTAATTACCGTCCTATCAGTCTCCTACCCCTATTCGGCAAAGTCTTCGAAGCCCTAATCAACGCCGAAGTGGTTAACCACCTTACATCCCATGATCTGCTCTCAGACAAGCAATATGGCTTCCGCTTTGCCCGATCTACAACTGACGTGCTTACGGCCATCACTGAAACTGTCTACCAAGCTCTTCAAAATTACGGAGAAGCTCGTGCCGAGGCCCTATACATCTCCAAAACTTTTGATAGTGTTTGGCATGCCGGCCTTCTTAGTAAGCTCCGGGGTTATGGTATTACAGGTCGATTGTTTGACCTAATACAATCATTCCTGTCAAACCGTGAATTGAAGGTCGTTCTCAACGGATTCCCCTTCAGTTCCTACCCCACGAATTCAGGTGTTCCTCAAGGCTCTATCCTGAGCCCTACTCTATTCCTTATCTTCATCAACGACCTTCCTGACGCCATAGATTCCCAAGTTGGCATCTACGCAGATGACACTACAATTTACTCCTGCCTCAAGAACAAATCTAGTGTCGCTAAACTAACCTGGCCGTGCGTCTCGAAAAGGACCTCCAATCGGTTGTGAACTGGGACAGGAATTGGCTGGTCAGCTTTAATACCTCAAAAACAAAACTGCTCTCTATTAATCACCACAGAGATCCCTCCCTGCCCCCCACCATTAGAATGTCTGACGCTCAACTTCTCGAGAGCATCTCTCTGCGGCTGCTCGGTCTCACGTTGACGGCTGACCTGAGATGGAACAAATACATTGAGTCAATTGCTTCATCCACCGCAAGGAAAGTTGGCTCCCTGTGCCGCGCCAGGAAATTTTTCTCCTCGGAATCGATCCTTCAGATCTACAAATCAACAATTCGCCCTTGCATGGAGTATTGCTGCCATATATGGTCTGGAGCCCCTTCTGTTTGCCTCGGAGTTCTTGATAAGATCCAGAGGGGGATATGCAATATAATTGGCCCTGATCTAGCATCTCGTCTACAGTCGCTCTGTCACAGACGCGACGTCGCCTCTCTCTGTCTTTTTTACAAATACTTTCATGGTAATTGCTCCGAGGAGCTGCATTCGCTGGTTCCCAAACTTCATGAATTCAAGCGCCCTACGAGGCTGGCATCCCGCTCTCACCCTTTCACTGTTGAAACTACTAAACATAGCCGTCTCTTCTACTCCAATAGCTTCATATCTCGCACCTCTCGCCTGTGGAACTCCCTTCCCTATTCCTGTTTCTCTAAGAGCTTTAATCTCTAACTATTCAGATGTAATGTCAATCGACATCTCCAGTTGCCTTGATCTATCCACTATCCTTCTCTTCATCCTTTCTTCTATCACTCCTATCTGCTCTCGCTCCAAATCTTCTGTAACCCCTTGCGTCCTAGTGGCTTCCCGCCTTGCTTGGGGTGAAACGCTTAAATAAATAAATAAATAAATATATATACACTTATTAGGATTAACTGGGTGTGGCAAAAGGTGAAATGGAAACGGGTAGGTTACCGTAATACAAATAAAACATTCGAATTTAATTTGGGTTTCAACAATGAAAAACACTTGGGTGAAGACCTGGTGTTTTCCATCAATCAGTATTGCCATATTCTGCTTTTGCAATTTGTCTGCTTACATTTTGGTACATTTTTTAAAATATGTTAGACAAACTTTGGTTACTAATGTGAATCAAATCAATTCACATATTAATAGCGTTTCCTTTATCCATTTCTGTATTTTAATCTATCTATATAGTTTTGACCCTTAATTCCTCAGAAATATCACCCAACTACTTAGAGAAACAATAAATTCTAGTATTAAAATTTATCTGTTCGTGTACAAAAAGTTCCGTTCAGCTAATTCTTGAAAAATCTTCTTGGCCCCAATTCTGTGAGAACCAATATGAATGTCCCTATTTTGTTTCATAGCAGCGGGGTTCATGATTAGAACAGAGGAAGATTTAGTTTAGTATTAACTAATTACTTACCCTGGGAAGACTTAAAAATCCACTATAACGTTTAATGGAGATACCTAGAATATTTTTTAACTGGCTGGCAGCAACATAGAAGCCTATTCCAGCCGAGAATGCACTGATGATGGTGTTGGATAAAAACTTAATAAAGAACCCAAGACGCAAAATGCCCATGATACTCTGAAAATAAAAAAAAAAGAAAATGATTATTCCACTTTTAAAACACTGAACCGGTTCAGTTGCTTCAAACATGCACACATATAAAAAGTGAAAGGTTTAAATATATTATAGTCACTGATCTTCAAAAAATCTCCACCTAGCAGTGATAGCAGTTTTTGATTACGAAAATAAAGAGACTATCTTACGTCGTTTTATGAAAATAACATTTACTCCTGCTTTTGTAGTACAAAGTTAATTTACTGTGAAACAGGACTGGGATAGAAAGTTTCATTAGAAAGATTTTATCTTAGTTACCAATTTAGAAAAACTGTAAACTACGTAAATAAACACATAGACAAGATTTGCTTTATTGTCATCGAAATAAAATTTTAATTATTTTTCAATTATCCGACTCACTTATGACGACTCGGGTCGAGATGTAGTGAACTACTGACAAATTTAATTTCTCTATGCAAGATCAGCATAAATGCTATGAATTCTGGGTTCAAATACAGTCACTTATCTGCATATTTCTCAACAGTGTTAGAATTGATATTCGATACCAACGGGCAGAATTTTGAATACTGATTTTCATAGCAGACAATACATTCCCGCTGAAAAGATAGTGACAGTAACATTGTGAACCGGTCCGCTCTATGGCGTATAAAGTAAATATCAATAAAATTAAGTATATTTTTAAAGTAACTATCTTTAATTTTTACAGCAATTTGAATGACTGATTATGATACTCAAACACTAAACACAATTAAACGTACCTGAGTCAAGCCGGTTATCAGTGTAATTGCCGCTGCTAACTTTATCTTCTCTCTGGAGAGCAATTCTTCCGTAAGAAAAAATGTCTTATTTGATAAAAGATTGCTGGTAAATGGCACGCTCTGATTGGTTTGTTCCAAAATGTTTTCGGTCGTAGAAAAATGATTTTCCATCAAGTTACCAAACATTAAAGAAATTACAACAACTGCACCTATCATTGAAAAATAAATAAACCAAGACTATTAACGTCCATTGAAATAAATGCCCAGTTTCAAATGGAAGCATTTTGCTATCAGTAAAGAAATACGAAATGAAAAGGAAATTAGCGTTATTCAAATATCAGTGAAAGAATGAATGAATCAGAAGATAGAATCGTTGATTCACTGAAGACTTCATTTATCAAGTTTATCTTCGACTTATCAAGTGATAATCTTGACATTATTAAAGTGATTTATTAATCTGGCAGAAGATCACTTTGATGGGACTGTAAATGGCCTAAAGACAGCGAATTCGTCTGCGAGGCGAGCTTCCAAACCATTGTATTACGGCTGACGCTCAATTGTTGTGATTTTAATTCATGACATATTTGTAGTAGGTCCCTACCTTTCAAAACGACCCAAGCCTTTCTCAAGGCTAGCTTTGAATAATGGCGTCATGGTATATCACGCTTACATCACAATTGTTTTCTCTGCATTAGATACAGAATAATGAACGCTGAATATTTCTGTTCATATTGTACCTTAACTGGCATATTCCGTGGAAGTTTTTAAAAGACTATTAATCCCAATCCGCAGGGAGTGGGGGCCTTCCCCAGGCAGTACCTCCCCACTTCGGGAAGGGGCTGGGTTTATTGCTCGGGGCCTGAAGCATCGTATAAAATAGTAATGCCTATGGGTTTTGGACATTTTTTCCCACGGTATTGCCGTTAAACCCACTTTAAATTGACCGCGTTTCACATTCAATAACGACATGGGCGCACTGAAAATATCCATATTGTACCTAGTTTAATACTGAAGATATATATATATATATATATATATATATATATATATATATATATATAACAAAAAGTATTTACGAAGAAGAAACAGAAGTGATCTTTAAGAGGGAATTTTTACTTACCAAACGATAAATGTTTTGAAGAACCGAAAATGAAATAACAGATGACAGGAAAAAATCCCATAAAAAGACCAACTTCCACAGGTAAGTCTGCCACAATTGCATATGCCATTCCTGAAAGGACAAATTTTGGCATCATACCAAATAATTCTATTTTTATTTTACACAATTTAGATGAAATTACCCTTGGCTTTTTTATAAAATAAATATTTACTTTTTAATCTTAATTAAAATGTGTCGATATATGACCCACAGTTTTTTATCAAATGACTCTAGGAATTTAAGAATAGTTTGATTGATTTAGTAGAAGTATCAAAAATCAAATTAGCTCGTAAAATGACAGTTCTTGGGATCACAATGCTGTGCCTTCATTCTATTACTGTTCTCGAAGTGATATCCAAAATATTCTTATAAGAATCATAGTACGTGAAAGAGTCTGGAAATTCGGCAATGTAGATAAAGAAATCTCCATGGCAGAATGGAATTTTCCTGGTAATAGAAATATAAGAAAATCTCCACGACAAAGAGAAAATAAAAGATTTCATTTAAAACGTGATCATTATCTTAACTTCAATACTGCAGCTGGTTTTAGAACCAAAGTGTGTACATTTCTACGATATTAAAAGTCCGATTTCATGTCTTTTCAATTAGATTATGATTCTTTTTGTGTGTGAAGAAAATTGTCACGTAGATGCCAGATACTATAACCACTATGATGTACCTTAATAAGAACTCTCATTTATTTTAAATTCTCAGAAGTAGAACACATTGACAAAAATATTTACTTTTATTATCAGAGATGAAATTTACTGACATTTATACTTTTGTTCTACTTTCTAAAAATATGACATATTGGTTCAAGTAAGAAATTATAAACTATTTTTATGGGTGTGTCATTAGTCAGACCATTCCTGTGTATGTAAAATTTACAATGTTAGAACTTCAGGCACCTGGCACTTCCCTTTTGGCTTTCTTTACAACTTTTGACTTAACATTCGAAAATCGGTTTTATTCGGAGAAAATATTTTCATTTTCTATCATGGCTGTAGTGGAAGCTTTTAAAAGCATTCGACCTTTCGGAATAACTGAATATTCGGAGAATTATCAGAAGATATAAAGAAAAGAATTAAAAACTGTCATATATAATGGAAAAACGTTACAGAATCATTTTCTATGTAATTCTCTCTGTGACATTTGAACTTATATATTTCCACTTAATATTGAATATTCATTTTGAAACAACATAAATTTCTAACCTTGTGGTAATTGCATAAAGGAAACTGTTAGACCTCCGATGATATCATTTGCAAGGAAAGACTTCAATTCATAATTTCGTATTAGATGCACCACTGGTAAAATATGACGGAAAACTTCTGTCGTATAGTTGTAAGTTTTGGAAACTGTCTTCTTCATTTGAGTCTTGCATGACACTGGAACTTTTTCCTTGCGACAAGTTTCAAAGAATTCTTGTGTCAGGGGTATCGGAGTTTTGTGAGTCTCGTAAGAATCGGGCATCCTTGCTAAAAAAAAAAATATTCAAAAAATATTCAATATCCCAACCCCTATCTATGAGCTATCAAAATTCCGTAATGACATCATTACCCTATACCTACTCACCAATTACGACATCACATCTACCCAGAAATTCCTCCAAATTTTAAAAAGTATAAAACCAACCCAAGGTATTTTAGCGTCACTTGACATTGAAAATTTATTCACAAACGTCCCCATTGATCAAACCATTGAAATCCTTAACTCCGTGCATACATATAATTCCATTCCACCTCCATCCATCAACCACCTTCTACCACCATAATGGTAACATTTACACTCAAACTAATGGTGTTAGTATGGGAAATCCACTCGGCCCGGGCTTCTCCAATTACTACATGTCCCATGTAGAAAACATGATATTATGACAGGTCACTAAACCCAAAATATATGTCCGCTACGTAGACGATATTTTTTTTATTTTAGCGAAGAACCCACATGAAATAGAGAATTTCAAAACCAATTGTCGTTAATTTTACCCACGAACTTAGTCAAAAAAATAAACTTCCATTCTTAGACGTTCTCGTAGAATACAGTAAGAACACTTTCAAAAACTCATTGTATAAAAACCCACTAGCAGAAACTCTTGCCGCCTTAATTTTAAGAATGAATACCCACTTAGATATAAAATAGCATTGATAAAAAAATTTCCTAAAGAGAGCACACGAGAATTCATCCTCTCGTTTATTTTTCCTTAAAGAACTCAGTAATGCAAAACAGACACTAGTTAACAGTGGTTTTCCTAACTACCTCATCGACCACCAGATTAGACTATTTCTTTCCAAAGTAAAAAATAACGATACTGAACATACAGACAAAAGCAATAACATAAACATCTACATCTACAAAACCCAAATGCACATCTATTATAAATAAACAAGATGAATCTTCACTTAGAAATATCATAAAGAAATACACTACCCCAGTTGACCCGAGCAAGAAAATTAATTCTCTATTATAAAAAAATTAAAACAGCTAATCTTAGCATAACAATTAACAATACATCTGCAAAATCAAATCTACAAAGAACGAAGATTATTTATGAGTTCAAATGCCCCTTAAGTAACTGTTCCTGATCAAACCAAATTCATAAATAATTACATCGGTCGCACTACTACATGCTTATCCAGACGACTTACGTTACACCCTTCCTAGCACAACCTCATTAGATCTCATTTAAACATACACAAACCTACCTGACTCAATCCAAAATCTACTAGTAGAAAATACAAGCATAATAACCTCATCTTCATCCACGTTTTAAAAAAAAGATTATAAATAACGGAAGCCCTAAAAATAAAAAGTAAAGATCCAAAACTCAATAATATTAACTACGAATACGGTCACAATGGCTGACCGTGTTTAAAAATAAAACACCCTTATAACTCTAGATATATACACACAACCCATACATTCAGTTAAAAAGTAAGAATAAAATCATCCTTGATAATGGCTAAAAATATAGCCAAAAGCGCTCGGAAATGCAGAACATTTGAACAGTTTTTACACATTTTGTGTCCAGAAAAGAAAGCACATAACATAACAAAAATTAAATAAAAAGCTTAACTGCAGTATATATATATATATATATATATATATATATATATATGTATTGGACTCGTAAGATTACACACAATATCGGCAAGCTCCTTTACAAGTTTACACTCGACATTAAACGATATTCATGACTCACCGAAATGCTTAACAGACATTTTCAGTCCGTTCTACTTAATCAAACATGTTTAAACGAAGAACCACCGTATATACTCGAGTATAGGTCGACTTTTTGTATAGTTGGACATCTGAATTTTTTGCATGAATTTTAACCACTCCAGAAAAAGAATTAACTATATGTAATGCAACCGGTAACCGAAAAGTCATAATTAATAACCACTTCTTCAAAAGAATTATCTGTGTATAGTGCGCCCCACTATTTTTTGCGTCATAAAAACTCGCACTATACTATAGTATATACGGTATATATTTGCGTGTGTCTGTAGTATTTCCAACACGTTCTACAGAACAAAAAACATTTCACCAAACTGTTATTTCATTTCATGTATATATATATATATATATATATATAAAACATGAAATGAAAGAACCATTCAGGTGAATATATATATATATATATATATATATATATATATATATATATATATATATATATATATATTACGTACACACTCATGTACACACACAAACACATATATGTTACATACGCTCTATCTCTGATATTGAGGTTTTTATCCATAAATATAACATATCTTAAAACTATATTCTTATATATACATATATATATATATGAGTGTGTGCTCATGTATATATATATATATATATATATATATATATATATATATATATATGAGTGTGTGTGTGTGTGTATATATATATATATATATATATATAACGTCTTTTACTGTACTTTGCAACAATAATTCGATATATTGAGAAAAATGCTACGTCACTGGCATGTCACGATAGTAAGTGATTGTGCTAGTCGAATGTTGTTTGCATATTGTCAAAAGAATTGTCAGCGGGTTTTTTTTTAAATCTACATTACATACAAAATATCTTTTTTTTAAGTAACGAATTTACTACTTCGCTACTTTTTTGTGCCTAATTTTTTTTGTTTTTTTGTCAGGTGCGGAAGACAGACATCTTCATCTCTGTCTTTTTATTGCACGTTGTCATCTGTGTAGAGTTCTGATAGTGTCGCTCGTACAACAAAAGTCATTCTGGAAAAAGCCCCACAACGATATACGAGTTCTAGCTGATGAGTAGACAACTGATGACGGAGAGTTATTTTTGTGTAAAACGCTTCCCTGGTTACAGTTGTCAAGCTAAATGATTACTGTTTACCTCTATATGTAATAATTCAACGAAAGTACGAATTAAGTTAACATTCAAATAATAATACATATATGTACACATGCATTTGTGAGCTTGCATGTGGTTTGACATTTGTGATAAAATCTCCTATTTACACACTGACTATTGTCCTCATATTTGTTGTTGTTACCACAACGTTTCGGCCATTGTATCCTATGGTCTTTATCACGTGTATTTCGATCAGGATAACCTAAATTGAATCCTGTTGTTAATCTAACTGGTAGCTTGTTCTCTTTCCACTGTTCATAGGGATATCTTGTCTGGTATTGCATTTTTTTTATTTTTACTGCTAAGTTACTGCTCGCTTTATTTTCACTTAGTACACACTGCCCGGCCCAGTGATTGAACTCACAATTATTATGCCGCCAAATTCACTAACGTTTTGATAACAACCACAAACACGAGGACAATAATTCGCGTGTAAATAGTGTAAAGAATGATAACTCCTCATTCCAGAAATTCAAGCAGATAAAATCTCCGAGTTTACTCGAGCAGCAAATATAACATAGTTTTAAATTAAAATTGTTGTATTTTATATACCTTAGTGTTTCAATCCCTCTATTCATCTTTGGATATCATTGTAAATCTATATTTATTTTAAACCAAATATGTCCTAAGGCGAAACATAATACACTGCCAGTGTCGTTGTTTATAGTAAAATATTACCAAAACGGTAGACTTTTCCTAATTCCTAACAGATTATTTTCAAGAAGCGGGTTTGAAACAAAGTGTGCAGAATTCAGTAAAATAAGTTATGTGAATTATTACACGCTGGTTGTGACGTTAATTTTTTTTTCTTTTCGTTTTTATATATATATATATATATATATATATATATATACTGATTCGTTTAACACGTCATGAAGCATTATAATAATTAGAAAAATTCAAAATAAAACTTCAACTTGAGAGAAACTAATACCGCTATATAGAAGATAACTGAAAGAACGAAAGGACATCTTACCAGAGAAGGAATTTTTTTAAGCTGATTAGAACGTCAACGCTTTTGGAGAGATAAGCCTGCTTCTGCCCAGGCGAACAACGAATCAGCAAATAGGCAAAGGAGGGAAAGCGAATAGTTTTGACTGAGTGTTTGTGATGAGGCAGAGGCAATTATGTCAGGTACTTAATTTAAAAGGAGAGAGGGGAGGGAAGAAGAGAACAACAACAACAACAAAAGTATAAATATAACCGTTTCTCTTGGTTTATTTAACTTGTTCGCCAGAACTGAAAGGAGATATCTTTGAAGAACAAAGTTTTATTTGCTTTTAACTTTTTTATCATTGTTTATTTTTTTTTACAAACATCCCGTTATCTCCGATAACTATTTAGGAGGGGATACTAAAAAGTAAAACATTTCCACTCCCAAAAATCAGAATTTCACTGACCAAATATCAGAATTTCTTTTATGATTTAAAGAAACTTAAGGGACAATGTGCTAAGTGTGTTGAACTGCGGAATGAATATGTATTATGTACGTTTCATGACTTTAGGCTATTTTTAGTTGGGCCGATAACGTTTCAAGGTACGACACAATAATCTATGTGAACTCCTAGGGAAATTCAACTTATAGGGGAAAGATATACTACAAAGAAAGATTTACCTTTATGAACGAGACAGTGACGTGCAGAGGTTTGCAGATGTTCAGGGCCAGCTCCTTGATTATAGATCCCTAAGTTTCAAATAGGAATGTTTACTCCCGTCTCGCTTATCAAAACACGGATAAACATTCACACAAGCTTGTGGGACTGTTGGGCGCTGGCACAACGAAGTTAACAGGGACAATTTCAAATTTCAAAACTATTTTTTCATTTCACTCTTTGATTGGATGCTCTCTATGTATGGATGCCCGTGGCCATCACACCCTCTGCCCGCTTTCGCACCCTACTGGAGCGAGATAATCATAAGAGAACTCGAACACCTACCAGGATTTATTATCGACGGCTATAATTTTAACAACATAAAACACACAGATTAAACTGTATTGATGCCGGACTCATAAGGAAAACTCCAAGAACTCCTAGACAAGGTAGTCAAGGAGAGTGATAAGAAAGGACTAACTATTAACTACA